CAGTCTCATGCATGTATTGTGAGCTGCATATTCCGCCCTGCGCCCTTGGTGGGGACCATGCCAGTCCCCGCACGCTCAAGCTTGCCAGCTCGAACCGGGGGCCAAGTGAATGTTAAGCTGTTGAAGTCCCACAGCAGCCCCAGGGGGAGCCATCACATGGCACCTGGGATCTTGAGAGCAAGAGCAGATCTTGAATTCCTGCCCAAACCAGGGCAGAGAGGCCAGAGAAAAGCCCCTGGGGGCTGGACACCGGCAGGCCAGTGGAAAAGAAGGCAATTTCTCATTTGCCCCTCCCATCATGGCAGAGGCAGGGGACGGGGTGGGGCCGTTTGAAGGTGCCAGTCAGCAACAGATGGAGCCTGGAGTTTGCGGACAGCAGCCCAGACCCACGCAAGCCATGACCATTTGCCCGGTGCCTTCCACGGGCCTTCCCTGACACAGGTGACATCGCTGAAGACAGGCAACAAATCGGTGTCCTAAGGGCCAAGATAAGGCTGGGTGCGTGGGGCAGAAAAGTTTCTGGGCACACGTCAGAGCATTAGGGGACGGGAGAAGAACGTGGAAGATGAACAGAGCCAAGGGCCGCTTCCAGGAGGCAGCTGACTGAGTAGACCCCTGGGAAGATGGACCGTGGGAAGAGGTGAAAGCGAATGAGTGACATGAAACAGAGCAGAAAGGGGGACAGCATGGACTTGGAGAACGAAACAGCGCCCTAGGCTCCCATCTGTAAACACCTGGGGGATGCGTAAGTCCCCAGACAGGTGCAAAATGCCACAAGTTGAGCCCAAAAGGAGACGGAGATTTGAACAGGTAACTGAAGATCACAGCACTTGGTGCTCTTTTCGACAAATTCCAATGAATTTCATGGAGCAGTTCATTCCGATCTTACACGAGTTGCTTTAAAAATAAAAACAGCCCAACCAAGCCTTTCCTGTCAGTGTTCCCTTTATCACAACGGCCAGGAGAAAGCAAACAAGCCGGGACGTCCACAGGCCCATTTCCCTCGTGAACACGGAGAGTCACCAAGTGAGATACTTGCTGATTGCTTTGAGCGAGGTTAGGACAGCGACACGACATCACCGGCAGAAAGGGCTTATCCCAGGGAAACAGAGACACCACGACGTCCCCCCGCGCCGTCCACTGAAGCCCTGGATCAAGAGATCCAGCGAGACAATGGAAAGCTTCTGATCAGAGCCTTATGTGTGTGCGACTTCCACACCTTCTCAGGAAACGACAGCCGGGAGAAGTTCCTTAATCTGATGGGATGTGGGCACCAAAGACCTTGAGAAGATACCCTTAGTGGAGAAACCTCGTATGCACACCTTTGAAGGTCAGGAACGCGACAAAACGCTGGTGATTACTGCTCCATTCAACCCGCAGTGCTGCGGCTGCGCATTTGGCATAGTGGTTACAGTGCCAGTTCAGACACCCACATCCCACATACAAGTGTCTGGATTCAATTCCACGCTCTGGCTCCCAACTCCAGCTCCTGCTAATGCAGACCCTGGTGGGCAGCAGGTGATGGCTCAGTGGCTGGGACCCTGCCAGCCACGTGGGAGACCTGGATGGAGCCCCTGGCACAGGGTTTTGACCCCTAGCTGGCTGTGGCGGGCATCTGAGGAGTGAACCAGTGGATAGGCACTCTCTCTCTCCCTCTGGATCTCAAATGCACATCTATACTGTATAATAGCATGTGACAATCAACTGAAAAATACACCTATTTCCTTATTTGAAAAGTGGAGAGAGAGAAAGAGAGAGAGAGAGAGAGAGAGAGAGAGAGAGAGAGAGAGAATGAATGAATCTTCCATGTACTGGTTCACTTCCCAAATGACTCCAAGAGCCAGGGCTGGTTGAGCCAGGCTGAAGCCAGGAGCCAGGAACTCCATCCTGGTCTCCCACATGGGCGGCAGGGCCCACGCACATTAGCAGGGAGCTGGATGGGAAGAACAATCGAGACAAGAGCCCAGACGCCCCGACAAGGGACGCGGGGTCCTAAGAGGGCTTATCCCGCTGTGCACACAACTGCTGCGCACCAGCACTGTGCGAGCTTGGGTTTCCTTTTGGCCAAGTGAAGGGCAGCTGTGCTGGGTGTACTTGGGGCTGAGGCTAAAGCCTCAAGGGTTCCCTGGACACTTGGGTCTCCGCGGTGCCAAGGGACGCAGCCGCAAGTGAGCAGCCAGGGAGCCGCGTCCCTGCTGCAGCCGCCAGCACCATCCACCCTCAGCGCCCGGCCCCCGCTGCCCACACCCTCCCATCCTTGGTGACCGAGAGAAATGCACACTCAGGGCCCCAGGAACCTGAGCCACCAGCAGCCTCCTCCAACCCCGCCGCTCAGCCGAGGGCTTCCCTTCCATCGCAGGGATCAGTGCGTGTCTCTCAGCCTTGTCCACATCTCCCAGCCTCTCCTGTCTGCCTCCAGCCTCAGAGAAAGGAGCGGCTGAACACCGTTCCCCAGCAGAGGTGAGAACAGCGGTACCTGGGGGGTGGCCCGTGTAGTTTGAGGAGGGGCGTGAGAAGCCTCCTGTAGCGGTCTGCACGCGTGGTCCTGCACGGCAGTCTGGGAAGGACCCTCAGGCTGCACACCTAACGCTAGTGTGCGGCCAGCACTTTTCTGGATGTGTGGTACCCCTCAATTTAAAATAATACGGTCACACAGAGCGCCAGGGCAGCAGCAACAACAAACAACAGACAGGACACTTAGGTTTCGGAGTCACAGGGACCTGCATGGGACACCACCTCCTATCTGTGTGAGACTTTCAGCAAGTTACCTTACCCCTCTGAACCTCACTTTTCAAAAAAACTGAGGTGTGTATTGTGGCAATTTGGGGGGCCAGTGCTGTGGTGTAGCAGGTAAAGCCTCCGCCTGCAGTGCCAGCATCTCATATGGGCGCCGGTTCAAGACTTGGCTGCTCCACTTCCAATCCAGCTCTCTGCTATGGCCTGGGAAAGCAGCAGAAGATGGCCCAAGTCCTGGGGCCCCTGCACCCATGTGGGAGACCCAGAAGAAGCTCCTGGCTCCTGGCTTCAGATCGGTGCAGCTCCGGACGTCGTGGCCAACTGGGGAGTGAACCATCAGATAGAGAACCTCTCTCTCTCTCTGCCTCTCCTTTTTCTGTGTAACTCTGACTTTCAAATAAATAACTAAATCTTTAAAAAAAAATTGCCAATTTGGATGGAGCTCATGGTTTGGGAGGTCAGGCTGCCCCGGACACCTGCGCCTCCTATCAGAGTAGCTCGTTCAAGTCATGGCTACTTCCCATTTCCCATCCAGCTTCCTGCTAATGTACACTGGAGGCAATGGATGATGGCCAAAGTACTTGAGTTCCTGGCTCTTGACTTGGGCCTGGCCTACCCTTGGCTGTTGTGGGCATTTGGGGAGTGAACCAGCAGGTGCAAGATCTCTTTCTCCCTCCCCTCTCTCTTGTCACTCCAGATTTCCAATAAATAATTTTTTTATAATGCCAATTGTCATAATTAGTACTTAGCATAAGTTCTGGCTCTATTTGGGTGCTCAGTGCAGGACCATTTCCTCCCTCCCTCCCTACCTCCCTTCCTTTCTTCCTTTCAAGATTTTTTTATTTATCTATTTGGGAGGTAGAGTTACGACAGAAAGAGGGAAAGACAGAGAGAAATGTCTTCCATCCTCTGGTTTACTCCCCAAATGGCCGCAACAGCCAGAGCTGGGCCAATCCTCAGCCAGGAAACAGGAGCTTCTTCCAGGTCTTCCACACACGTGCAGGGGCCCAAGCACTTGGGTCATCTTCCACGGCTTTCCCAGACCACAGCAGGGAGCTAGATCCAAAGAGGAGCAGCTGGGATTCAACCGGTGTCCATATGGGTTGCCGGTGCAGCAGGGGAGGCTTAACATACTATGCCACAGGGCCAGCTCCCATGATCACTTTCATTGTTGGGAAAACCAGTAGTCTGGCAAGGACCGGGAATGGGGCATGGTCTTCCTTGGGTGCAGACTAGAAAGGAGGCGGGGAGTGAAATGTATGTGTTTCATTTCATGCTTACGGTTGAAAGTCATTTTGTTGTATGAAGGAGGGGGTTATTGAAAAACCACCCAATTTGGGGGTGGAACACAGGAGGCACGCCTCTGCCTAACGCATCACCATGAAAAACAGCCACAGACCCTCCGGGGCTGCGGGCCTCGCCTGGCTCCTCCTGCCTCGGAGATCAAATCCTGCACCCACCTTGAGCTGCCTTCCTCTCCCTCGGCACTGCAGCCACAAGGGAACCTCCTCCAGGCTGGGAAATCCCAGCCTGGCCCCTATGTCAAGTCCCTCTTCTTCCTTTCTGGAACTTTCTGCCGTCCAGTTCTGTCACTGTCACTGTTCTGGGTGCTGGTGAGGTGATGGACGGCCAGAGCCTCCCCAACCTGGTTTATCACTTGGCCAGATTCCACAGGCAAAGCCCACATCTTTCTGTGCCCAGACCCGCAGGGGCTGTGACACTGGAGGAGTCCCCACAGTCTGGGTGCTATGGGTTTGTGAGGGTCTTGCCTCCAAACACTGCACCATTCCCCGTGACTCCCAGAACAGGCAGGACTCTCCCTCTGTGCCCACATCCGGGCATTTCTTGGTTCTCTGCAACGGTGCCTCCTCCAAGGGCTTCCCCTCACTGATTGGTTTGAACAACTGTCCTAGGTATTCCCAGGAAGTCCACCAGTTTTCTCCATGTGGTCTCCCCTTCTGGGTCCAATCCCAAGGTCAAGGTTGTATCTCTAGCCCCTGCAGAGAAGGCATCAGTGTTGGCTGAATTAAAGACATCAAACTCGGTTTGGCCAAGTCATGCAGCAGCGCCCAGTGAGCACTGGCACACAGTAGGTCCACAGCTCACTGGGGCTCGTCCACCATGGGACACCTTCCAGAGCCCAGGGAGCTGGCCACACCAAGAGCACACAGGCAGCCCAGGGACGTTCTGCTCTGGGTCACACCCACCTCTGGGCAGCTGCCAATCTCCCCGCCAGAAACCACAGACCCAGCTGAGGCTGCCCGGAGTCCAGGCCCGGGGCTCGGGAGGCCTTGGGTCAGCTCGCACAGGGGGTGTTTGCTGGGTGCTTCCGGTATGTGCAGCCATGCCGGGGGTGGGCGGGGGTCTGAGGCCAGGCTGCAGCGGCCATGGTAGCAGCCTGTGCTAAGGCCCTCTTGGGCTGGGAGGAGCTACAGAAGCTCCTGACAGCCTGTCACAGGCCCCTGGGGCTGGCACTGGCTCGGGCTTCATACACACAGGCACGAGCACACACACACACACACACACACACACACAGGCACCCCTTGGGGGCTACACAGTCCCACGTTCAGGTAAGTGAGCCCATCCCTGGGACCAAGAGAAAGGGGAGAGGAGCAAATGCCAGCATGAGCATGAGTGTGTGTTGGGGCGGGGGGAGGGAGAGAGGGAGAGAGAGAATGTGTGCCTGGGAGTGACCTCACAGCCGCCAGAACATAAACACACGCAGGCCCTGCTTCCCAGGCTCACAGCTGGCTGCGGGGACTCACTGACATGAGACGCACATCACAGACGCACCTGCTGGCCTTCTTCCTCTGCCTCCTCCCGCAGGTAAGGGGCCCTGGGCTCGGAGACATGCAGCTGACTTATTCAGTGTGGTGGGAAGGGGGGTGGGAAGCCCCAGCCCAGGACCCCCCGGCAGAGCTCCCGCAAGGCCCCGTGTTGGGCACAGTCCAGCCCCTGAGCCCGAGCCAGGCTTCCCTCCCTGGCACCCAGACAGCTGCCTCCAGCCAGCTCAGCTGTGTGACCCCTGGGCAGCCCCTCTTCCTCTCTGAGCCTTAGTGTCTTCCTCAGCTGAATGCGTGGATGCCCACGAAGGCTTTGTAAAGATGGGGAAAAGTCATCGAGAGTGAGTTCTCTAGCCCGGCCCTGGAACGTGACAGATTTCAACAGAGGGTTTAACGACCGTGCCTCCCCCGCCCAGCCCCCTGCTCAGCACGGCGGGCAGCCTCACTAGGACTCAGCCGTGACTCGCCTGCCTGCTCCGAGCCAGCACTGGGCTGGATGCGGGCGTCTCATTGAGTGAGAAGGGCATGAGAGCTGTGGGATTCTAGTGACTCGCAGAGCCTGGCTGGGAGGGACAGGAGCAAAGGGTTAATCCTCGGGTTTGGCCGGGACAGTTATCCAAGGGCTGCGGAATGTCCCCCGGCACACAACAGCCCCGTAAGGCATCATTCGTCCCAGTTCTCGGCCATGCAAGGCTCAGAGACGGTGAGCACCTTGCCTAAAGCCATACAGCAAAGCCACACCACAGTGATAGTGGAGGGGCAGGGTGGAGCACAGGGTAGTCGCGGGTGTGTGCTGGGGCGCTCCAGTCTATGCCTCTCCCATCCCCACAGCCCGAGCCACAGCTGCTTGGTTGCACCTTCCCTCGGCAAACGCTGCGTTCCCAGCCCCGTGGGACCAGCCCCCCGCAAGCCGTGAACTCACAACAGGATCCCCTCGCTCCCACGACCTGGGCATCCATGCAAGGGAAACCTGAGCACTCTGCTGCCTGCCAGTTCTGAGGCTTGTTCTCAGGGGCATGGGGCAGACGTGGTGCCAGGGTGGTGGCATGGGGAGCTGGGGCTCTGTGAGGGGAAGGGATGGACCCAGAGTGATGAGTGACCCACGGCAAGCCATCCTAGACACACAGCAGTGAGCCCAGTGGGACAGCTCCTCCCTGCCCCGGGAGCCAGGCAGCAGCCTGCAAAGGCTCCCAGGGACGTGGTCATCATGGACATGCAAAGCCCCCACGCTCCTCCGGGAATTCCAAGTCTTCCCAGAAGGCTGTGGGCTGCTGGACTCAGGACTGAGGACAGAGAGACCTGAGCACACGGCCAGTGGTGAGCTCGTTTAATCTCCATCATTACCCAGAGATAGGTGGTCTCCACTGCACCGGACAGGGGAGCAAGTGAGCTCCAGGTTTGCGTGCCGGGCACCTAAGCCACGTGGTCCAGGTCACAGGGCAGTCAGCGGTAGAACTCGGATCTCTCGTCCCTGCCACAGAGCCCTGCCTCCAGTGACCTGACAAGGCTCCAGGTAGACAGAGCAGAAAGTGACAAGCACAGGGCGCCTGGGAAAGATGTGGAGACAGAGGCCAGAGAGGACACATCCTTGCTTGGCTGTGCCAAGACACCCTCCCCGATGGCTCGCTACCATTCTCAAGCAAATAGGTAAACTGAGGCAGTGACTAAGCTCGCACCAGAGCTCCCTAGAGGATGGGGGGCATAGTAATTAAGGATGTGGGTCTTGACTCATGTGAACTTGGATTCTGCTCCTGGTCCCACCTCTTCCTGGCTGTCTACTATACTTCTGTGGGCCTCAGCTCCTCATCTGTAAAGTGGGCACAATGCTGGAGCCCCACGCTGGAGGGCACAAGGAGATAGCACACGAAAGGGCTGGCACACGGTGTGCATGGGGTGCGACCTGTGGCGCCTGTCAGCTGTCATGGTTGATGTCATCCCCAGCTCCTGCTGGGCACCAGGACCTGCCGTGCCAGAGCAAGCCGAGCCGGCCCCATAGAGGGAGCCCTGGGGAGAAGCCAGGTGCACAGAAGGCCCGTGTCCAGGTGGGAGGGGCTGAGCAGCGGTTCTGGTCGGAGGCCCCCACTGCCCACGCACCAAGGGAGCTGGGCCTGTGGTTGGGAAGGGACCCCACGTCCAGCCCATTTCTCCTCGGATCAGCTCGTATGAGTCACCTTGGGGCTTGGTTAGGTGCAGGTTCAGGGCCGATGCTGTGTCTTCAGCAAGTTCCGGGGGTGCTGTGCTGCCTGTCCTGGCTTCCTGGGGAGGGGCGAGGCTCCGCCCCTCCTCTAGAACCTGGAGTTCCAGCAGGGCTGGCTCAGGTAGGGCCCTGGGCCCTAAGCCTGTGCCACCCACCAGCCAGTTTGGGGCGGCCCCTGCTGGTCAGGGTGAGAGCTGCAGGCAACTGAAAGATTTGCAAAGCTGGGGGGCACTCGGGATGGGAGAGGGTGGGGACCAGGGCAAAAGGGTCGTTGCCCACTTTGGGTCACACAGGAGATGGGAAATCATTGGTTTCATTTTCCTAAACTCATTGTCTTCCCTCCTCTAGACAAAACCTGTACCATGCCACCATCCCACCCCCCACGGGCCCAGGGTCCTACAGAAGGGAGATGGGTCCCCAGAGAAGGGGCCGCTGGGAATATCTTGAGTGATGCTACTGCTCGTCCTTACCTTCAAACAGACACGCAGCGGGCCATGGCCCCTGTTTTGTGGCTTGTTTCTTTGTCATGGGCTGGGGGGCGGGGGCCTCCCTGACTTGGGCTTTGCCCATTGCAGGAAGAGTGCCCTCCCACTTGGCATCTTGGGTCCCCGCTGGGGAGGCCAGACTTGGGGCTCTGCAGACCCTGACTCTCAGCAAGCCCCGCCCCCTCTCTGCAGCTCAGTCCCCCCAGGGACACAGCAGGGGGCGGGAGGTAACCAGGCAGAGGCCTTGAAAATCCAGCTGTGCTCCCACAGTCCCTGGGCAGCTGGCTAAGAATAGATTCCAGTGGTTATGCACCTGCATCCCATCCTGGAGAGCCAGGGTTCCAGTCCTGGCTCCCGCTCCTGACTCCAGCTTCCTGCTAATGCAGGCCCCAGGAGGCAGCAGATTATACTTCGAGTGGCGGGGTCCCTGCCACCCATGTGGGAGACCTGGGGACCTGCACTGAGTTCCGGGCTCCTGGCTTTGGTCTGTTCCAGCCCTAGCTGTTGCAGGCATTTGGGGAGTCAACCAGCTCATGAAAGGTTCTCATTCTCTCTCTCTCCCTCTCTCTCTCTCTCTAAGATTTATTTATTTTACTTGAGAGTCAGAGTTTCACAGAGAGAGGAGAGGCAGAGAGAGGAAGAGAGAGGCCCTCCATCCAATGGTTCACTCCCCAGTTGGCCGCAACGGCCTGAACTCCGCCAATCAGAAGCCAGGAGCTTCCTCCAGGTCTCCCAAGCAGGTGCAGGGGCCCAAGGACTTGGCCATCTTCTACTGCTTTCCCAGACCATAGCAGAAAGCTGGATTGGAAGTAGAGAAGCCAGGACTAGAACCAGTGCCCATATAGGATGCCAGCACTTCAGGCCAGGACGTTAACCCACTGTACCACAGCGCCGGGCCCAGATTCTCATTCTCTCTTTCTCTTTCTCTCTCTCTCCCTCCCTCCCTCCTTCCCTCCCTCTCTCCCTTTCAAATAAATAAGTCAATAAAATCTAAAAGGCACAGAGTCCAGGGTCCCACCTCCAGGACATCTGATTTGGTGAGGCCCCAGGGGGTTGCATTTTACCGAGTTTCCTGGCTGACATGACGCCCACCAGGGCTGGAAACACGTGTGCTTTTTTCTAAAGACCAAAACCACCCCTGGCATGTTGGACAAGGTCACGTCTCCAGGGGAACATCCACAGGCTGGAAATTCGTGCCTTGCTCTCGGCCATTTTTATCCAGGGTTTGTTGCTTTTGCCCTTCTGTGAGCTCCAAAGGGGCCGGGGCTGAGCCCTGTGCAATGATCAACCCCGATGACCATCAGTGCTCAACACACCCAATGCCTGCTGCGCACCGGGCCACGGGCAAAGGGTTTGAGGTGCATCATTTCATGTCCCCCTCAAAAAAGGCCTCTGGGTTAGCTACCAGTATTGTCCCATTTTACAGAGGAGAAAGCTGAGGCTCACCACAACTCTGGCCCAGAGCCCTGACTCGTGACCACAATGCCACACTGCCTCTTGGGGAGTGCCGTGCAGCTGCTGCGGTTTAAGGCCAGGCCTGCGCGACTCTGAGGCCAAGATCTGGACCCGACACTGCCCAGGCTGGCAGAGGGGCGATGCGCTGTGAGGGTCTCTCACTGTCCACCTTGAAAGCCCACAGCTGAGTGAGGTCTCCGTCTCTGCAGGTGTCTACCCAGCTGTGCCCGACACCGTGCGCCTGCCCCTGGCCGCCTCCCAGATGCCCGCCGGGGGTGCCGCTGGTGCCCGATGGCTGTGGCTGCTGCCGGGTATGTGCACGGCGGCTGGGGGAGCCCTGTGACCACCTCCACGTCTGCGACTCCAGCCAGGGCCTGGTTTGCCAGCCCGGGACGGGCCCCGGCGGCCGGGGGGCCACGTGCCTCTGTAAGCAGGTTTGCGGGACCCCCGAGGGTGTGTGCGGGAGGTCAAGGCCACGGGGTCTTGAATCAGGGAGCAGCCCTGCCCTCTCCACCTCCTTTCACCCTCTGCTGCAGTCCACTGCCCCTTCCACCCAGGCTCACAGCTTCCTAGGCCCATTGCTCGCATGGCCTCCCCCGGCTCTCACCCAAACCCAACCACCAAAGCCAAGCTCGAACACCTCCCCTGAGAAGCCCTCCCAGATTCTTCAAACCAGACGGCATCATCTCCGCCTGGGGCCCTCACAACACTTTGGGGGAAAAAACAGTACAGCCCCGTAGTTAGGGCAAAGCATCAGGCACCGTGCCCAGTGCTTCCCGCAGCAGCCACGTGGTTCTCCCAAGCCCTCACAGCACCAGCACTTTCAGAGTCATTTCCCGAGTTGGGGAACTGAGACTCAGGGACACAGGTGTCACATTCCACTCTGTCTTCCTGGAAGGCCCCAGGCTGTTGTCTGAATCCTGGGTTTGCTGTTTCTCCATGACCTTGAACACAAGACCCTTCTCACCACCCTTCTCGGCTTTGGCATCCTCTGATGCCTTGGGCAGGGTCTTGCAGCCTTGTCCAGGGACCCTCGGGGCTGTCCTGTCCATGGTGGACTCCCTGAGCCCCGCCCACTGGAAGCCAGCTGCAGCCCTCCCTGTCACCAAGTTGTGACAGCTCTGCCCTCAGACATGGCTGAAGGTTCCCAGGAGCGACAGCACCCCCAGTGGAAGACCACTGCTTTAACCAAGTTGAAAGAGGCGAAAGGTGGTGTTTCTAAATAATCAGCACATAGAGTAATTCAACTCTTTCATCTCTGTGCCTGTCGCCATAAAAATAATGAGAGACTGGGACCCATGAGACATTGGCAATGACATCTATAAAAAGACCTTTGTTAGAAATCACAGCAACACGGACAGCTATCCAGAGCAAATCCTGGGTAGGCGCCTCCTGTCGGGCGAGGGTGGGAAGACACCGGGGCCGTTCGTGGACTCAGGGTCACTGCTGCCCACAGCACGGGGACACAGCAGCGGGGCTGTGGCTGAGCCCGGCCTCGATTGCAGGAGCGCTGGTGGATTCTATCACCACACACTCGCTCCGCACTTCCTGTGTGCCACGCACCAAGGGCTTCGCCAACATCACCCCGTCACCTCCCCACAACCACAGGAGGCAGGTTCCCGTGCCACCTCCCGGGTGCCAACTGCCAAGGGAGGCAGGGAGAGGTTAAGTGATCTGCCCCACCCCCAGCTCGGTCTGGCTGAGCGGGATCTGAACTCAGGGCCTGGCTGCACGTGGGTGTGTGAGTGACAGAGCAGTGGGGATCGCCCGTGCCTTCTCCAAGGGGCTGGTCTCCTTCCATCCCAAGTCGGACTTCGAACACCTGCAGGCCAAGGACTTACTTGGTCCCAGGTCCCTGCTGCACCTTGCAAGCCCTTGTGAGGCAACACGGCAAGTGGTTAATGATTTGAGCTGAATTTAGGGGCTGGGCACTGGTGAGCCCTGCAGATGGGCTGGGTCAAGACCTGGGACTCCAGAGGGCGCGGACTGCCCCAAGCCTCCTGTACCCCGACTTGGTCCACGCCGGCTCTCTATGGGGCAAATCCACGGTCACAGCATGAGTGAGTTGCAGGACGAGGTCCTGGTCCCCCACGCCCCAAGCCAGTCCACGCTCAGAGCATCGCCAGCCTTCCCTGCAGCTGTTCTCGACACCCTTCTCTCTCACTGACCGCACCCTCTCCACTGCCAAATTCTTCACACTATCTCCAGAATCTTCTACACCCCAGCCCCTCCACGGCTGCCCCCCTGGTCTGAGCTTGGGTTTTGCTTGGGTTTTGTGTGACCTGGACCTGTCTCCCTGCTTCTGCCTCTGCTTCCAGACTGTTCACAACACAGCTGTTAGGGCTCCCGTGTGACACGAGTCAGATCCCGTCTCCCCTCTGCCCCGAAGCCTGCTAAGGCTCCCACATTCTCACAGTGGCCCACAGGACTTGCTCCTGCTTCCTCTCTGAGCTCCTCTACCTGCTTGCCTCTGACCCCACTCTCTGCTCCAGCCACACTGACCTCCTTAAAAACTCCTAGCATGTGCCCACCCCAGGACCTTTGCACTGGCTGTTCCCAGTACCAGTGTTGTTTCCCTCCAGATTTCTGCAGGGCTGGGTCCCTCCCCTCCATTCCAACTTTGCTCAGTGAGGCCCTCCTGGTCACTAGGTATAATAACAAGCCCCTCCCCCCGCTGAGCTCACCGCCTGGCATAACAAATTCCACTGTTTATGGTGGTTAGTCCAGCAGAGTGGAGGCTTCCATGAGGCAAGGGTTTCTGTTTTGTTCAGGCCTACACACCAGTGCCCAGAACAGTGCCCGGCCCCCAGCAGGCACTCGGTAAGTATTCGCTGAAGAGTTGTCGAGGGGCCCACAGCAGCAGGAAGCATTTCTTGAGCACACACTGCGTGCAAGTCCATCACACGCAGCTCAGTTTGTCCACGGCACCCAGTGGGTCCTATTGTCCCCATCTCACAGGTGAGAAAATTCACCCCAGCAGTTAGCTTGCCTGCCTGAGGTCACACCATTTGCAAGTAGCTGAAGGTTTAAAAAAAAATGCCCTGTTGCTCTACCACTGCAAGGGATGCCCAGAGGGGAGGCACAGGAGTCACCAGCTCGCATGACAACCGTGCTCTGGCCTGGGAGAGGCCGTGGGGACCCCGCGAGGCATCATCAGGGGAGGCTGCTCCCAAGGGACTCTGTGCTGGGGGGCCGGGGGAGGTGCCAGGAAGCCTTGAGAAAAGGACCACCCCTCCAGCTGCCGTTCTGAACCATCCCTCTGCTTAGGGACCCTCAGGCCCCAGGGCTGTCACCAGGAGGCGGCCTGGGAGACCTGGGCATTGCTGGGCCACGGATGGGGGTAGTGGTGCAGCAGATCCTGTGGCCTCATGGGAAAACAGTAGCCACGTGGTCCAGGCGCAAGGGTCAGGGATCTGGAGCTAAAGGGCTAGGACCTGAAAGAGGCCAGGACAGGGAGCCGCCCCTGGTCCCGTGTCCCCAGGGAGCCGCCCCTGGGCCTGTAACCACCCCCCCAACCCAGGAAGAACACGTACAGCCCACTCCCGCTCACTGATCATTTGATCTGCACGGGGTTGAGAGCAAAACCCGTAAGTCCCCTGCCCACTGGGTCCTCCGGCTCCCCCTACGAGGAACCCCGGAGAGCTGGACGGTGGGGACCTAGGGTGCAGGCCCGAGCATGCGTGTCCCAGAACCCTGCGTGGGCTGGCGGGGTGGCGGAGCTGTCTGAGAGTGTTCTTAGGAGACCTGGGACAAACTGCTTCCTACTGAGTGCTTTTCCCAGACCTGTCAGTCACCACCCAGGTCTCCAGGGAGCACCTCCCCCCAACATGCACATACACACACAGAGCACACCACACACACATGTACACACCACACTCCCCACACACACCCACACCCCCACACACATACAACCACATCACACACATACACACCACACTCCCCACACACACCCACACCCCCACACCACACACATACAACCACACATCACACACACACACATATACACACCACACTCCCCACACACACATGTACACACCACACTCCCCACACACACACCACACACACATGTACACACCACATTCCCCACACACACCCACACCCCCACACCACACACACAGCATACCACACACACCACACACACATACACACACAGAGCACACCACACACCACACACATGTACACACATGTACACACCACACTCCCCACACACACCCACACCACACACATACAACCACACACACACCACACACATATCTCATGTATACTCCCCCACATACACACAGCACACCACACACACCACACATGTACACACCATACTCCCCACACACACCACACACACACACATACAACCACACATCACACACACACACCACACACATCTCATGTACCACATACACTCCCCCACATACACACACAGCACACCACACACACATACGTACATCACCCCCATACCACACCTGCACACATAACACATACACACACACCACATGCACTCCCCCACATACACACCACACACACATACACACATACATACCACATGCAAGCACATTACACATCCACACTATACCATGCACACATACCACACACATATACAACCACATACACTCCTCCACATACATACCACACACATGCACACACATGCACACATACATACCACACATCACACACTACACTCCCCCACATACACACCACACACATGTACACACATACTACACACAGCACACTACACATCCACATATCACACACCCACACCACACCATGCACACATACCACACACACTATACTCCCCCACATATACACCACACACATGTACATACACATGTATACTACGTGTACACCACACACTATACTCCCCCACATACATATGCACCACACACGTACACACACATACCACACAATATACTCCCCCCACATACACACCCTACACACCACACACATGTACACACACACTACACTCCCCCACATATGCATAACACACATGTATACATACTACACACACTACACTCCCACACATATACACACACACTATACTCCCCTATATACATACGCAGCACACACATGTACACATACTACACTCCCCCACATGTATACACACCACACACATGTACACACACATACTACACACTACACCCCACACACACCATACACATGTACACACACATCACATATACCACATACACTCCCCTGCATACACACACCACACACATACTCCCCCACATACACACACACAGCATACCACACACACATATACACATACCAATACATACTCGCATACATACACACCATACACATGTACACACACACTACACTCCCCCACACACATACACACCACACACATGTACACATACCACACACACATCACACATACCACATATACTCCCCACCACATACACATCACACACCACACACACACTACACTCCCCCCACACATACACACCACACACGTACACATATCACACATACTACACTCCCCACACACATGTACACACATCACACACATCACACATACCACATACATTCCTCACACACATACACACCACACACATGTACACACATTCCCACACATACACACCCACATGTACACACAATACACTCCCCCCCACACCACACATTCCCACCCACACATACACACCACACACGTACACACATGCACACACACACACGCTCCTTGGCCCGCCCTGCCTGAGCAGCTTGCACGCCCTTCCCCAGGGCGCCTCCCTCGCCCTGTCTTGGAGCCGGGCGCCGGACATCCGTGCCCCGCAGGCCTCCAGCCTCACTCCTGTCCGGGGGCAGCGTGGCTGGCCCGCGGGAGCGGCACGGTCAACACCTCCGGAACACGAGGAGGCCCAGCTACTGCATCAGTGTCATGCACTGAGCCCCATGCCACGCACGCATTCAGGGGCATCTCCTGGGGGTCTGAGGGCCCCCCCCAGGCCCTGGGCTGGCACGAGCGGTGGCAAGACGCACACTGTGGCCCCAGCCCTCAAGGAGGTCCTGCCCACCGGGGAAGCGCCAGTCGTGCCCGAGGCACGAAGGCTGCAGCTACACGGGTATGCCGAGCTCCGAGCCAGACACCGCTACGCGTTTTCCACGTGAGCCTGGATCTGCTCTCAAACAGCAGAGTAGCGAGGACCTGGCTCTCGGAGGCCTCCTCCACCTGGATTCGTTATCCACATGATTTCATCCGGTCTGCACCGCCCTGTGAAGTATAGACCACTGCACACATGCCCCATATGCAGATGAGACCAAGGCAAGAGAAAGTGAAACCCTTTGGCTAAAGTTCACAGGGAGCCAAGAGCAGGCCCCGAGCTCAGCCGGGGCCAGTCCTCCCGAAGCTGTGCCAGGATCCAGGACGCCAGCTGTCTCCGTGCTGGGCTGGGCAGTCTGGGAGCGGGGTGGGTGTGGTGCCTCCCGCTGGGCCTGGCTCAGAGGCTGTGCTGGGTCAAGCCAGGCGGGGAGGGGGTCACCAATGGGCTCTGGTTTCCCCCTCAGTCGCAGAGGAGGCTGGGAGCTGTGAGGTGAACGGCCGCCTGTACCGGGACGGGGACACCTTCCAACCACACTGCAGAACCCTCTGTCGCTGTGAGGACGGCGGCTTCACCTGCGTGCCACTGTGCAACGAGGACGTGCGGCTGCCCAGCTGGGACTGCCCCCACCCCATGCGGGTGGAGGTCCCGGGCAAGTGCTGCCCCGAGTGGGTGTGCGACCAGGGAGGGGGGCTGAGGACCCAGCCCCTCCCAGCCCGAGGTGAGTGTGGGACTGGCGGGGACAAGGGCGGGACTGGCTTGGGGGTGGGGGCATGGGCTGCCTGGGGAGGGAGAGAGGTGGGCATCGGGCCAGGAGCTGGGGACGCAGGAGCCGGGAAGCAGCTGTGGCTAAGGACGGAGTTAAGACCCTGGAGTCTCCAAGCCTCAGAAGCTACAAGCAGCAGTCATTTCAATATCGAAAGCCAAAGCCTAAACAACTAAGATGAAAAGCTGGTGGCGGAGTGGGGAGGGGCAGGGAGAGGCAGATACTGAACCAAGTCCTTGCAGTCGCCAGCAGGCGGTCGGCTCCATCCCTGGTCACCCCTGGTCAGAATGCGTAGCTCATCGCCCAGGCTTTGAACCCTGCGAGGCAGACGCCTCCGGGATGTGGGCGGGGGTGGGCAGAGATGCAGAAAAAGCAGCTGCCTCCCAGCACCAGCTCTGCAGCCCTAGACATCTGGCTGTTGTCATACTGCTTTTTAAGATGCATGATTATATGAAAGGGGCTTGTTTGAAAAGAAGGGCTCAGCTCCGTGAACGGTGCTGCCGCACGAGGGCAGGAGAGTGTGGCGGGTTGAGAGTGCGGAGTCGGCACCGGCTCTAAACCCAGCTCCACCCCTTGCTCGCTGTGTGAGTCAGGGCAGGCTGCTTCACTTCTGTGACTCAGTTTCTCCAGTGTAAAATGATGAAGTCGTGAGAACTCACAAATCAAGCAGTGCCCAGGGTGCAGAGCTATCTTAGGTGGGGCCATGACTGTGCCTGGGATGGAACCTGTTACATTTGCCTAATGCAGAAAATGCCCGCGAGGTCCCCTTGGGCATAAAAAGGAGGAGACACTGTATTTCCAATGTGATCACCCCGTATGTGTCCCCAGGTGTGTGCACACGGGTAGACGTGCACACACTGCCAGCTCCTCGGTTCTGCTTCTCACAGATTCAATCCTCTGTAGACTGAAAATATTGAAAGGCACCAGGAGACTTTTTCTTGCCATTGTCCCTAAACAATACAGCGTGTGTGCGATTTAGATAGTTTTACGTTGTCTTTTGGTATCGCAAGGAAGCCAGAGCTGATTGGTTTAAAGTGGATGGGAGGATGCATGCAGCCACACACAAGCCTCTCCACCTAGAGACGGAGCAGGGTGGATTTGGGAATCTGGGGGGTCGGGGTGGGGTGGGGGGCTGGCTCTGGAGCTGATCCCAGGGGTGCCAAGGGGCAGGGAGGAGGGCTTCCCAGGCAGAGGGATTCTTTTTTGGCAGTGGGGAGGAGGCTGTCCTGTACATCGTGGATTGTCTAGCAGCACTCCCTGGCCTCTATTTCTCCCAACTGCAACAAGAAGAAATGTCGCCACACATGGCCACATGTCCCCCTGGGGGCAAAGCTGCCCCTAAGTGAGAGCCATTGGGTTACCCAGAGAGAAGGGCGGAAAAACATTAGCAAGGGGAAGGTGACGTGGACTTGGGGAAAAGCCAGGCCGTGGGGACTTCGCCGCCTGAGTCCAGGCACGGTTTGGGAATTTTTATCATCCTTAACCACCGGGTCACAGCGCCACTGCACACAGGCGGGCGCCCCCTGCTGGTAAGATGCTGCATGTCAGAGGAGCCGTGGGGGGACAGAAGCGAGGCAGCTCGCCGGTACAGACCACCAGCACTCGTGGGTGCTCCCGAGCTCCCGGCACTGCGCCACACACTTCACATCCACTATTCAGTCCCGACAACAGACCCACAGGACATTTACATACGAAACCGAAGCCCAGGGAGCAACTTGACCCAGACGGCGGGCCCGCCGGCAGGTGGTTTGAGTGGCTGGGAAGCACTAACCTCACCGAGCTGACCCCCTTCCTCTTCCCGCAGGACCCCAGTTTTCCGGCCTCGTCGCCCCCCCGGCCCCCAGTGTTCCCTGCCCAGAATGGAGCACGGCCTGGGGCCCCTGCTCCACCACCTGTGGGCTGGGCGTGGCCACCCGGGTGTCCAACCAGAACCGCTTCTGCCGCCTGGAGACTCAGCGCCGCCTGTGCCTGCCTGGGCCCTGCCCACCCGCCTGGGGCCGCAGTCCACGGAGCACTGCCGTCTAGAGCCGGCTGGGAATGGACACGTGGTGCCCACTGTGTCCAGCAGGTGGCTGACAGCAGCAATCCCGCTAGGATCCGCCACGCAGGGCCAGTAGGACAAGGACATTCTCCAGCTGCCTGGTCCTGGTCCCTCTGGACTCGGATGCGGCAGGGGTGCATCCCCAAGGCCCCCTTCCCCTCACTCAGCCCGGGAGACTGGCCAAGGCTCCCCGGGGCTTCTGGTCCGTTCCCAGCCTACAGCCAGCCTTAACGGAACACGCAACTTCCCCTGGGCGGAGGTGGCGTGGCCGTGTTCTTAACGACCAGGCTGCGGGTGGACCAGCGAGCAGGGGCTTGTGGGTCTCCTGCAGCAGCCTGCTTCTCCCCCCGGGGGTTGTGCAAAATCATCCCTGATAGAGAACTACGTTTAAACTGCATTGTCCGCCTTAGGCTGTGTGAGAAATCTTCCCCACCCGGGGCAGAATTCGGGGCTGGCTTCTTTCTGAACCCCAGGAGGTAAAACCTTGTGGGAATGAGTGTGACACCAGCACCTGCACCTTGGACAGATCAGCCGTCTCCACAGAGGGGAGGCTGCCCCCTGGGGGCCGGGAACAGCCTGAAATAAACCAAGCCAAGTGAGGATTTCTGGTTGCATGTCTCATGCTTTGTTGCCTAAAGAAAAATTTTAAAAAGGAAAAGAAAAAAAAAACCGGAAAAATAACCCAACACCTACAACCCTACATCATCCTGCGTGGTCTAGCTGTTTGTTGAAAAATAAAAAGCATGTTGCCATGAGGAGCCAGCCAGGAAATTAGGAAACACTCGTGGTGTTTAAACAGGGACTCTGTCTTATTAAATTAATTTCATTGAGGCGTAATTCACACACGTCGGGGGCTCCTGATTGAAGGAGTCTTTGCAAATGGACACACCCTGGAAAGGACTCCTCAGTCAGGCACAGAGCTTCCCTGCCCTCGGAACACGCGCCTCCTATCAAGGCAGCCGCGTCTCTGACTTCTATCACCATAGATGAGCTTTGCTGGTTTCTGAACGCCACATACGTAGAGCCACGTAGAATGAGCGACCACTTTAGGTCAGCGAAATAAAAGAGAAGGAATTTGGCGCTGGTGTTGGCTTAGCTGTTATCATGCCCGTATCTCACGTAAGAAGGTCTGGGTTCGAATCCTGCCTCTTTTCCCAGTTCCAGCTTCTTGCTAATGAGCATCGTGGAGGCAGCAGGTGGTGGTTCAAGTACTTGGGTTCCTGCCATCTGTGTGGGAGACCTGGATGGAGTCCTGAGACCCTGGCTTCAGGCTGGCCCAGCCCTGGCGGTTGGGGGCAGTTAGGGAGTGAACCAGTGGATGAGAGAGCTGCTTCTCTTTGGCTTTCAAATAAATAAAAATAAGCAAATGCAAATTTTTAAAAGAGGGCATTTAATGGGCGGGGCACTAGTCCCCCAGCTGAGTGGCCGCACAGGCATCTGGGTGACAAGCTGACAGCGGGGAGGGCGGGGCCGGGAGCTGCAGCCACAGCAGGGCCACCTGCAGTCAGAGGTGGGAGAGACCCCCCCACACACGCTGTCACTAAGGCGCCTGCTCCTGGCCCCCAGCCCTTGCCTCAGGCACCCCATCTTCCAGGATCCCAGGCAGAGAGAGATGGAGCCACCTGGTGGCCAGAAAACCCCTGCACGGCAGCTGGAACCAGCCCTAGCCCAGGGACAGGAAAGGCTGGGGAAGCCATCTGCTCCGAAGCCCGGTGGCCGCTGGACAGCTCTGGGAACTTGGACTTGGCCACTGAGCTCAACGCCATCAGAATCCTGTATTCCAGAGTCCTTGTTGGAATGCTCTCCGTGACTCTGATCGCAAGAGCAGAGAAGGGAAGGGAAGGCAGGCGAGGCGAGGGGAAGGAAGTGTGCAGACGGTCAGGATCAAAACAGAGCCACTCACACCAAGCCCAGACAGCCAGATGCCAGGGGGTTACGACAGAGGGAGGGGAGCTCACGCACAGGTGCCTGGCCACCAGAACAAGCACCGGAGACTCTGCGGACCCTTATCTGCACAAAACACACCGCGCCCTCCCCAGCCCGCGCCTCTGCAGGGACGCACACCCAGCCAGACGGGCGTGTGGGTGCACAGCCTCCCGGCTGCCTCCACTGCTCCCCGGCCAGGACCACCTCAGGCTCTGCCCAGATGACAGCAGTCGCTTCCTGCTCTCCCCTCGCTCCTAATGAGACTCTGCTGTACACGGCAAGTCAGGTCACGTCTCTCGTTTTCACCCCAAGAAAAGCAGAGGCTTCTATCCGCAGCCACCTCTCTGCTGCCCTCACCTCCTACCGACACACAATGCTCCAGCCTCCTTGCTGTTTTGCCAACAAACCAGACATGCTTGACCCCAGGACCTTTGCACTGGCTGTTCCCTCCATCTGACATCATCTTCCCCCAGGCACCCACATAGCTCATCCCCTTGATCCTATTCCCCTTTGGCTCACAAACTCCATTACCCTGGAACCCACCCTGGCCGCCTCATCCCGTGCCCCCTGTGCCACTCTCATTCTTCTCCTAGAGCCCACAGCACCTTGTCACACACTACGTGGCTCATTCAGCTATCGCTACGTGACTTGCTGCCTCACTCCTAGGCGCTGGGACATCTTTCTTCCGCTTTGCTCCAGGATGGATGCCCGGGACCACCAGGATACAACCAGGCTTTGTGATTACTGAGTGACAAAATCATTTTTCTTGCATGGGAGAAAACATATGTAAGCCAGACAGTGATAAAGGGCTAATATGCAAATTATCTAAGGAAATTAAACAACCGAACAGCAAGAAAACAAAGAATCTGATTTTTTAAAGACCTGGGCAGCTGATGCAGACCCTGAGAGGCAGTGGTGCCAGCTCGGTATCCAGGTTCCCACCAGCCTATGCGAGACTCGAGTTGCATTCCCGGCTCCCCGCCTTGGTCCAGCGCAGCCATTAGGGGCAGCTGGGGAGTGAGCCAGCAGGTGGGACCTCTCTCTCTCTCTCCCTGTGTCTTTCTCTCTGCGTGTCTTAAATAATTGGTTTTTAAGGGCAAAAGATGCAGCAGGCATTGAGCACAGCAACTCCAATGCTGCTCGGGACACCTCCATCCCAAACGGGAGTGCCGCGATTCCAGTCCCAGCTCCACGCCCGATTCCAGCTTCCTGCTAATGTGCCCCCAGGAGGCAACAGCTGATGGCTCAAGGTCCCCACCATTCATGTGCGAGACCTGGATTGAGCTCCTGGCTCCTGCTTAGAGCCAGTGTTATGGCAGGCAGATCGGAACTCGGCCATCTGTCTGTCTGTCTCTGCTTTTCAAATCACTGCTCAAAGCATACATACAAATGACCAGCAGGCTTGTGAAAAAGTGCTGACTCTCACTGGTCATCAGAGAAATGCAAACAAACACCACAAAAAAAAAATCAAAGAGCTCCTGTTGCCCAAAAGGCAGAGGTGTGTGAGTGTCAGCAAAGATGTGCAGGAAAGCGAGCCCTGGGCACTGCTGTGCAAGGCAAGGCAGCGCAGCCGTCCGGAAATCAGCCCCGACGTCCAGGTGCACCGTGGACTCGGCACGTGTGGAGATCGCCCCAGAGGCAGAGACACGGGGGATTCCGTCATGTGTGACAACACGGACGGAACACGCGGTCACTCAATGGTGAAACAAGACAGCCACCAAAAGACAGACACAGCACCATGTCACCTCCGCGTGGCACCCGAACCAACCAACCCATGAGCTCACAGCGCAGGGAGTGGACAGGGCCAGCTTCGGTTGGGCAAGAGGAGTGGGCTGTCGGAGCTCTGTCGCACGGCTTGGTCACCGCGGTTAATGGCGATGCGTTGTGTGCTGTCCTTTGGCAGCAGTAGGAGGATCCATTTCAAATGCTCTCAAAACCAAAAATAAACGTCTGGGGCGGCAGATTAGTTAAGTAGATCTAATCATTCCACAGTTCATACACCTAGAATCACACTTTCGTACCCCATAAATACGTACAGTGTGTCAATTTACAATAGAATACACCCATCTTTCCTGCCCGAGAGGCTTACTTAGCGGAGTAAATATGGAGCCGAAAAACTGAGTTGTTTCGTTCACAGAATTCCCTGGGGGCCAGGTCTGCGGGCTCAGACTCAGTTCTCAAAGACCAGAAGCATCCGCCAGGGCCAGGGCACCTGCCAAAATGAATGTGTCTTGTGCCTATTCCCAGACGTAGAGAAACCTAGAGGAAGGACCCGGACATCTGAGCTGTAACCTGCACCTCGCAGAAAGATCTAAGAGTAAGATGACCTGGGCGCGTGCGAATTCTGGAGGGTGGAAGAGAGGACACAGTGGTGGGTGCTGCCCCCTAGTGGCAGTTCAGCACACAAACAGCTCGGTGGCCGCCGACCCCATTGCCGCCCGCCTCCAGTTTCCCGGATGTAGAAATAGGGTCCCAGCCAAGGGAAGGGACTTGCCCAAGGCTCAGCGGGAGACCGGGAGAGGGCCAGGCCTACAGTTCTCTGTGTCTTTTCTGAGCGTATTACTTGAGCTGATGCCCGTAAGAACCACCGCCCAGCCCCGTGCAGGGGCTCCATTTGTCCCCAGTCAGCTCCTGCCTCCCATTGGCCACAAGGATCTTTCTCGGGGACACTCACGGCCCTGTCGCTCTGAGTTGCCCTCCGGTGGGGCCCAGACTCTTCCCAGGACGTGGGCAACTGGGGCTCCCTGCTCTGGCCAGCTCCCCACCTCCAGGCCTCTGTCTGGGCCTCATTTTCCCCAACCTGTTCCCATGGGTGACACCAGTTACTTGTCACGAGTCCCATCTCCTGTCTCCCTGGAGCTAGCCCTCCAGGGCCCTGGCCCTGGCCCCTGTCACCTGCAGGGGGCTCCAAGCCTGCCACCCCCACATCCCCCTCCCCTCTTCTCGTAGACCACGCCCACCAGGACCCGCACACCCTGGTCCTTCCCCAGGGCTGCACAGGGCGCAGGCCCCAGCCCACACCCTTCCAGACACTGCAGTACAAAAGCCCGGAGGACTGGCAGCCTCCTGGGAGGCGCCCCTCCCTCTGCCTGGGAAAGGGGAGGCCGACGGCCACCGCATGCCCATGGCCAAAATATGGACTAGGGTCAGAGGTACACTCCTGCTGGCGCCGCGGCTAAACTAATCCTATGCCTACAGTGCCGGCACCCCGGGTTCTAGTCCCGGTTTCTCCTCTTCCAGTCCAGCTCTCTGCTGTGGCCTGGGAAGGCAGTGGAGGATGGCCCAAGTGCTTGGGTCCTGCACCTGCATAGGAGACCAGGAGGAAGCACCTGGCTCCTGGCTTCAGATTTGCGCAGTGCGCCGGCCGTAGCAGCTATTTGGGGGCTGAACCAACGGAAGGAAGACCTTTCTCTCTCCCTCTTTCTCACTAACTCTGCCTGTCAAAAAACAGAACAAAACCAAAAAAAAGAGGTACACTCCCAGGGCTGGAGTCGCATTCTAGCTTGTTCTAGGGAATGTATCTTGTGACCCTTCCGCAGGGAGAACTCTGGGGCAGGGGCCAACCCTCCGGAGCGGAGAGGCACTGGCAGAGTCCCCGGGAGCCTGTCAAACCCCGACTGCTGGGCCTCCACCGCGCCGATGCGCCAGGTCTGGAGCAGAGCTCCAAAGTGTCCAT